ATGACCCAGAGGGCAGAGGTCACTTATTATAAATGGATAATGAGACCTAATGCAGTGCTCTGAGGATGGACAAAGAAAAGGTCTATCCATAGCCCCTGGTGGATTGCTTGTCCAGGCTTTTATTTCCTCTGCACACTTAATGGAGTCAAACAATTGACAGAAATTCTATAGAGAAGGCTGAAACTGAGAGAAATGGCTGTATTCTAACTCTGACAGACACATACAAATAGTGATCCTGAAATGGCGCCAGAGCGCCTGCTCCCACTAACAGAGCAGACGGCTGCAGCATTCCCCTAAATTCCCATTTAGTCATTTATTAGCAATTAACCTCACTGATGGAAGCGACGGCACGTCAAACCGGGAGCCTTCCAACATCAACCCATTACGTCACTGCAGGTAAGCCAGGCCCTGCCAGTAGAGTCCAGCCCCACATTTTTGGAGAAAATGGTGAACAGGTATTGCTGGTACCCTCTATTTCTAGCCTCCTACGCACCTATGGCAGCAGGATCTATTTAAAAATCGTAAATGCAACCGGAACAGAGTAAATGACATCAGATGCACAGATCTTAATAGCCTACAGACTTCTGTACAATATTTTTTTATCATAATCAATGTCTGTACCAGTTAAATCTGCTAATTCACTGTAATAAATATTAATATCATCAATGGAAAAAAGTCTACTCCGAACTATATTTGGAAAAATAGCAGGTCATCAAACACTCCAATATGACAGTGAGCTTCTGTAAGAAAACACATGGAATTCTGTAACATTGACAGATACTAAGAGGTTAGATGATTCTTTTTATAGACACCTTCCGTTTATTTCATTTCAGTTCCATAAAAAAAGCAATGACAGGAACGTGATCTGCATATACAAAAATTATTCTGATAATCTAGGTAAAGACCTGGAAATAAATGAAAGCAGGTATGCTAAGTCTAGGGGTTGATATAATCCAAACTTTCAAATCTACATAGTTCACAGCAACTATTTCATACCATTTTTAGAATGGGAATCAATGATTTCACAAGGTTCATCCAAGCTATAGAACACACATATAGTCCAAATGAAGCCCTAGAGGTCTCAAACTTTAGTTTCTTACAGAAAAACACCATTTCATGGAAATAATCTCTCTAGGGAATGGCATATGCCAACTGAAAAAGTTTCAATGGGAAATATTCAAATGTAATACACTATTGAGTGGATCTGGACAGGGCAGCACGACACACCCTATGGTCAACAATGGACTGTAAATACTCTCTAAATAAGTCCTACATTACAAGTTTCCTCTACAAGAGAAAAACATTTCAGTCTTCCTTTTCCACCTCTCCCAGTGCTGGGCAAATATTTATAATGGACAATGCAAGGAAACATTGCTGAGTGCCTCCACCATCCTTGGTACATACCACAACAGCAATGCAATCCAGGATGTCAAACTAATAGAACACGACATTGAGAGAGAGCAGCTCAGAAAAAAAGTGCTGCATATTTAGCTGCTTTTCCCTGGCACTGACAATGTCAATCACAGACAAGAGTGATGTGAATGCTCTCACAATGTCTGTGTGTGTGTGTGTGTGTGTGTGTGTGTGTGTGTGTGTGTGCGCGCGCGCTCACACACACAGGGAGAATCAACCATTCTGTGTCTGGAGTACCAATGTTCACAAGAGATATAATGCAAAAATAGTGGCATTAAAATTCACCCAAACATGTAAGTTAGAACTGGAATGAAAAACTGTGACGCTTTAAACGCTAAGGATTCTGTGTGCTGGGCCAGCAGAACACAATTTACTGAGGAATAAAGATGCTTAGACTCTAGTGATTCCTGACTTTTTTTTTTTTTAACTTGTATTAAGGTCCAAAGAAGACTAAAGAAAAAGTTACTGTGTCCTTTGGTGTAGTACACAAAGCTCTAATATAAAGGTTAGTTTCAGCTTTGTCAAAGGAATATACTACAATGAAGTGTGTTTGATTTTGAAAGAAAAATATAATATCAAAAATAAATCCCAAATCTCAACAAAAAAAATTATTTTATATTTTTATAAATTTATTTATTTTATTTAGGGAGGTGTGTATGTGTGTGTGTGCTCGTGCACACAACACACACACGCCATGTGCACATATTTTTGGAAGCCAGAACAGGGAGTTTAATCCCCTGGAGCTGGAGTTACAGGCATTTATAAACTTCCTGATGTGGGTCCTGGGAATTGAACTCAGGTCCTCTAGAAGAGCACTAAGTGCTTTTAACCACTGAGTCATCTCTACAGCTCTACAATAATTTCAATAAAAATTTCATCAATAATTTTATGTCCAAAAGAATATATATATATCCTTGACTTTCACCTCTACTGACCTAAACAGCAAGATTACCATCTGCACATTTAATTTCAACATATAAATTCATCATATAATTTTTAAAAATGATTAAAAATGGCAGTCTTCAATGGTTCAACAGAATTACTGACTCTGATGTCATCTCACCCTGCACTGTGACATCTGGAGGAACTATTGGAATGTGATCCTGTCTACCAGGAACACAGAGGCCTCCACTGTCAGGACTCCCCAATGTGGCATTTTCCTGAACAGAAGGAAAAGCTACAAGGATGAGGAACACAGAATGTGGGGGCTTTGCTTGCTTTGTCGTAAAGGTGGGTAGGAGTCATCAGGATTTTCTTTCCTCCGCTGCGGCCTTGCTACAATGTGGAACAGAGTGTTTACGGAGAACAGTGTATCTGTTAGGATGAATGGGGGTCCTGCTGGGCTGCTGCTCTCTTCTCCCTGAGACAGTCTCTTTCCTCTTTCTGTTTACATCATTTTTTGCCTATTACTATATCATTGCCGGAGTTTGTGCAAGTTTGCTACATTTTTTCAATGGCTCCAAAGACAAAAAACAGAAAACAACAACAACCACCACAACCCAAAAAACAAAACTGTAACATTTGTGAAGTGTACAGTAGGACTCCGGAGTTCAATTAAAAATAGTTTTAAAGGATACTTATCAAAGTCTTTGAGTTGGAAAATAAAGGGTTCTGTCCCCATCACTGCTGAGGACCAATCACAGAGCCCAGCACACTGCAGAGAGGTTCTACCACACGTCATGGAAAGCCCCAGGTTCAAAGGTGATTTTAAACTTGGATCAGTAAAACAAAACAAACACCCACAGCACCAGAAATAGTAAATGTGTGTTGCAGGAGGTAAAGTATCTTTCCAAATGGTTTCTGTGAGGGAACTTGCAGACAAGGAGTGTTCCAGAGGGGAAGTAAAGGCACTGTTTAAACCAACACCAGTACTGCCCCTATTGCAATGTATCCCAAATGTCCAAATCCTGCAGCTAGTAGCTTCCGTTACGTAACACACTAGCAGGTCAGTGAGTGTGTGTGTAAAACTTTAAAAGCCAGGTCCATCTGTATCATTCCAATCCATATACAGAGACAACAGAAGCCGAACAGAGGTCCAGTTGGCAAAGGTGCTTAGGCCAAGCCTGCATCTCCCAGGCCTGTATAGATGAAGATCTTGCCTTGTTTAAAAACGATTTACCCAATCCCTTTCTTCTAAGCATCCTGCTGCAAAGCTGCCAGAGGAGTGAGCTTTCTAAAACTGCCATCCAGTGGTGCTGAAGGGAGACTTAGGAGAAGGTAAGGGGTCTACACTGGCCTACTATGTGCAGGGCCCTACGTTCAACACACACACAGCAATTCTGATGGTGTCATCACCATGCATGAAAGCACTTGACGGATGGTTAGCAGCAGCAGTGGTGAGTTTCATTAAACTGGACAGAAGTGTTAGAGGCAGCTAAAGTCAATGGTATCAACCAGCTTATGACTGGTATGAAAAAGGAAGAGATGTAGTATGGTTTTTAACTTTATCTTCTTAGACACTTCAGACTTACATGTCAGCTAATCAGAGCTAACAGGCATCAAAACAACAAAATGGAGCCGGGATCAGCTGATCAGAGCCGTCCTGAAGGCAAGATTCTCCAGAGAAATTTATCCCAGTGTTTCTGACTTGCATTTGTCTCTCCCACTAGACAGTGAGTAGCTTGGGGCTAGAAGCATTAACTGACTGCCCTTTGCACTGTAAGTACCTGACACATAGTAGGCACTTGACAAATATGTGCTGGAAAAAGCCGAGTTCAAACGTACAGGAACAAGACTGCCAACTATTTATTACATATGGCGTTTCATAACTGTTGAATAAAGCCTATAAATTTTTCCTGATTCCAACATAATATGTAACACATTATAAAATGAAATAAAACAGCTCTACAACTATTTTAACTCAAGCTGCATAATTGCTAAGCACAACAACTACCATTAAAAATCTGTCATTGTTGATTTCTAGGAAGTTTCTAAGAGCCTGCAGTACTCAGAGACATCAGGTTCAATTAGGATTCAATATATTCTTCCCAATTGAATTATAATTGTAAAGCATTTTTAATTCTATGAAGACAAACTGGATAATAAATATTAAATTGTCTCTTCATGCTTCCCATATTAAAAATAAAAGTATCTGGCTGGATGAACATCAATATCTACAAATAGCAATAGGACACAAGGAAACCAGCTCAGTTGAGGAGTACTCTGCAAGCATGTGCAAGGTATGATCCCCAGCATCAATCAGAAACAGAAACCCAATGAAGCTAAGCCCATCAAGGAGTCCACAGAAAGCTCCACAACAGGCAGAAGCTGCTATGTGGCGTCCTGTGATGGAGTGCTTCTTTTTATTCCCTTAGGAACAGGTCCCAGGCTCTGTGAAGCTGCTCTCCATAGCCTGCTAGGTCACATGTTCTAGGTAGTTTGCTTTGTTTTGTGGGTTATTGTTTTGTTTTTTTCCCCAAACTTCTGCATAGTTATGGTTCGTGGGAAGGAAAGTGGCAGCTGTTTAAGAACTACGGCCCATGGACTGATAATACGCAAATATGTTTTGAAAGTCTGCAAATCCAGAAATGAACATATGGAAGCAAAATTAGAACAGAACCAAAAGTAAAGCGATGAGAAGTACTTACAGCCAGCGAGCAGGAGCTGGTAATAGTGCACCGCTTCTGCCGCCAGGAGCAGAGGGTGATTCGCATTAAATGGTGGCTGCAGTTCGTTCCACTGAGGCGTTCTAAGGAAACAGCAGAAGAATATTAATATTTAAGCTGCATAGATGGGATGTAAATCACCCACAGACCCTGATAGAGTCTCTCACGACTTCTGAGCATTAAAATGAATGTGTAATCATTAAGATCGATGCTCTTTAACTTGACATACAAGGCCAGGAACTTTACAAACTAAAAAGGTGGCAATGTGCCACACAGATAACAAGGAGCCAAGGTTACCTTATCAGAACTAGACTGTAATCAGCTAGATAAGAAAGACAAAAGAGAGAGAGGAGCAGTATTCAAATGCCAACTACAGAGATGCCATTTTATCTCATTTTTGACCAGTGTTAGACATCTTCAACTCGAAACAAAGTATGTAAAAGTGATCTTTAAAAAAGTAGCTGTGTAAACGGACAACTTACTTTGCATTGAATTAGCTATTTCAACAGTGAGACTGCAGTAAGTTTAATTAGATCTGCTGAATTTTAAATAAGCTTGATAAATCAGATATTGATCAGATCAATCCGGCATAGTGAGTACTAGTAAAGAATGCTGGAGCCATGAGAAAAAAAATCAATAGAATATTTTAAAATGTCAAAAGGAGAGGGGTCATTTTCATATCCATTTTTATCTGTTTCCTTTCATACATGTCGGGTGATTGTTTTTCTCCCTTGCACAATTCACTATATTAAGTGGGTTTTATTCCAGGTTTCACTTCTTCTTCTATGCTAGCTTATAAAAATTCTACTCATTACATGAGTTGAGATGATTCTTAAACACTTCCTGAGTGCCTAACCACTGCATCCTGGAGGATCACTTTAAAGGAGACCTTAGAATCTCTTGGTATTAGTTCCTATTTCCCTTAACAGCATTACTTTCAAGGAGCACATGAGACTGGAATAAGGGAAACACAAGACAAAGAAATGCATACATGAGAAACACAGAACAAGACGTTCAAATGGGCTGGAGAGCTGTCTTGGCCATTAAAGGCTAGGCTCGCAATCAAAAATATAAAAAGTTCAAACAGAGATTGTAATCTCTGATTACATCCCCTGAGACAGTGCAAAATATCATCATGCACAATTCTGCATTTGAATATTTACAGCAACAATATTAGTGACAGCTATAGAGTAAAAATGGCCTCCAGCTAATGAATGGATAGACAAAATGTGGTATGCCTATATAGTAGCTATTAAAAGGAATGAAAGTCTCATACACTGCATTAATACAGACCTTCAAAATATGCTAACTGAAAGAAATCAGACACAAAGGATAACATATTTCATGATTCCATTATTTAGAGACCAGAGTAGGCAAAGGCAGGCAATACAAAGTAGGCTAGTGGGGGTTGGGCAGAGCTGGGGGAAATGGTCCAGGGTTCACTTACCTGGTGAAGGAGAGTGACTGCAGAAGGGTGCACACATGACTGCAGTGCCTACCCTGCACTGCATGTAGACCATGGCCAATGAAAAAGAAACGGACTAAAGTCTTCCCAGACTAAAGAAACCAGACCACAGTGCATAAACCCATTGGTACAAGATTCTGGTGACAAGGGCAAGAAGGGAAATTATATATACAAGTACGTATGACTGTGAGTAGATAAATTTCACAGGCATGTATGTTGAGATTTCACAAAGGGTACATTTGTATTCTTTCATGTGGTGGGGAAGGAGGAAGAGAGGACTACCTAACGAGTGTCCAGCTGGCACGGGGTGACGTCATCATCTCCAGTGGTGTGTCATCACTTATCTTGGGAGCAGTACTGAGCGGCCGGGGCTCAATCATGTGCTCCACTAAGGTCCCGTAGCAACTGATGATGTAAAGAGATTCAACTACAACTTGTTTGGACTGATCTGCAAACAGAGAATCACAACAAGACATGTAATGAGGCAGAGAAAGATCACAGCAGGAGTTTTACATTATTGACCCTGCTGTCTGCACCTGGGCTGCCAGAAGAAAATAGTAAGAGCTCTGACCCATGGCATCTGCACATTCTCTGAAGGTGCTTTGCATAAGCAGATGCCAGTGAACACACCACTACATTTTCAAATATAAATCAATTTGTTTCAAGAATGATATCATTATGTTCAAAACTGTAATACAGCTAAACACTATGTTATAAAATTTTGAATTTCTTATTTATTATCCCACATATTATGGAAAATAAATGACATGAGTAGAACACGGGAGGATTACCTGAAAATGAATAATCTATGTAATAAAGTTGAATTACACTGGCTTGAACATCTGACCTGCATGAAAAACTAAGTGTGGAACGAAGTCATCCTAACAGTTCAACTATGTTTTCCTGGAAGACTTAAATTTATCAGCCCCAGAAACCACTGAAAACCAAAACTAACAAAGAAACCCAACCACACCCAAAATAAAAACAAAAAACACGAATGTGCATAGTCAAACATGAGCCTGTAAAGTCCGTGCTGAAAAGGGATGCAAAGTGAGGATCACTGGGCTCACTGGTCACCAAATAAGCTCCAGGTTCTGGAAGACCCTGACTCAACCAAACAAGGCTGACACCCAACATCCACCTCTGGGGCCTCTACACACATATGTATGCGCGCGCGCGCGCGCGCACACACACACACACACACACACACACACACACACACACACACACACACACACACAGAGCAAACTTAAATATTAACATCTGGATGAAAACAAACAAAAACACAACACTTGTCTGTGCAAGGCCGTCAGCTGAAATAAATACAGCACCCTCCCGACACAGGTTGAGTACAAGTGAGCCAAGGAACAGCCAGAAATTCTCTGTAGCTTTCTCTCAATTTGCCTGTGAACCAGAAACAATAAGAAAAACAAGTAAAGAGCCTCCTCAAAGTAGCTCTTAGTCCATTTCTCAATGGGATTACTGGCTCCTGTGGGAAAGGAAGGCCAGCGATCCACAGAGAAATCAGTGCTGGTATGGATGTAATCAGAGGACTTTATAGGGCATATACACGTACACACGGCCCGGGCAGGCTCGGTGCTGAATCTCATGTTTTACAGTAAGCCGAGGAGGACTTAGGATTGCTTATGAACGCTGTGTGGGTCATCTTATCTCTGTGTCAGACGAATCCATTACAGCTGATTTGAGAGTCTGACCAATGACTAACTAGCCAGTGGGACATAAAGGAGTAGCAAGCAAAGGGGGTAATTAGGACAGAAGGGAGACGCGTCTGAAATGGAGCTTTGCAGAAGGTTTTAATGAGTAACAAAAAGTCCTTCCGATAGCATCATTAAACCAAAGGTACTAACAAAAAAATAAAGATGGGATAAGAAAATGGGAGGCTTGCCTCCTCTACAGTATCCTTCCTAACTGGGAAGGCACCTGCTGTGCTAAGCTCCTATTACAAGGGAGTGGTCACTGAAAGGTGATAGCAAGGGAAATGGCTGGTGTCTGACTGCCAACAGAGAGCATGGAGAAGAGCCATTTTTGCCAAGAACAAAACCAACTGTGGAACTAGCCAGGGGGCAAGCCAGTATGTGACCTAATTGAATCACAATAAAGTATTCAAAACTGTTTACTTGGTATATGAATGTAAACATTCTCTTCTATACAGAGACCACAGGAAAGGTCCTAGGTTCAAGCCTTATAACTGGGAAAAGAAAAAGTATATACATGATAACAAATCACATACTAAGACAATAATTACACAAACAATCTAGGTATTGATCCCGGTGATCAAAGCAGGTTAAAAACACAGCAGCTGGAGCTGGAGAGATGGCTCAGGGGTGAAGAGCAACCCACATGTGGCTCACCAAATTAACTCCAGTTCCAGAGGGTCCAAAGCCCCCTTCCAGCTTCCATGGATCCCATCATACACTTGGTGTACATACACACATGAAGGCAAAATATTCATACACTTAAAATTTAAAAAAAAATTTTTTTTAAGTTAAAAGCAAAGAAGAACATAGCAACCCCAACAACTCAAAGGAGCAGTGATAACCACAGACCATGATACTTATTTCTCAGTAACAGTCTGGCATTTCTGTTTTATTTTGGGGGCTTGGGGATTTTGTGGTTTTACTACTACTACTACTACTATTATTACTATTATTATTATTATTATTATTATTATTAATTATTATTTTAATGTGGCAGGAATCAGAGAGATGGCTCGGCAGTTGAGAGCACCTGCTGCTCTTGCCAAGGGGTGAATTCAGTCTCCAGCACAAAGCCTGCAGCTCACAACCACCTGTAACTTCAGCTCCAGGGGACTGGCCATCCTCTGCAGGCAAATGCATTCACATGCACACAGGTCCCACGCAGAAGCACAACATATACCTTAGCTAACAGTAACTAACATTAGTGGGATTGGTTGGTCCCGATGTTACAGAATTTTCCTCTTCCTACTTCAGAGACAATACTATGAAATTAGCTGGTGCAAAACCTGAAAGTAACAGAATGGGCACAAAATAGACAGTCCAAGATCAAATGTGCAATGTCATTTAACAGAGAGAGAGAGAGAGAGAGAGAGAGAGAGAGAGAGAGAGAGAGAGAGAGAGGTAAAATTCAGTCAACAGGGCCAGTTGAGGTAGTACACAAATGTAATAGCAGCATTAGAGAGGCTGATGGATCTCTGTGAGTTCAAGGACAGCCTGGTCTACACGTTGAATTAAATACAGCCAGGTCTCGAAAATAAATAAAAATATCAGTCAATGGTAAATTCATTTCCCATTTGTGTGAAAAAATAGTTTTAATTCTTGGAGAGACTTGATTAGTTAAGGCCAGACATGATTGATAAAAAGAAAGAAGCGGACCTAATTTTATTTTAGTAAGAACTAATAGTTATAGAGTTCTGTAGGGGAGATGCTCACCCCATGACCTAAGAGGTAAACGCAGCAGGGCAAAGCCGAGCACCAGTAAAGCACGTACCTTTTTCACGTTTCAGACCTGCGTTGTTGGCAAACCACGACCTGGAGGTCCCAAACACTGCCGCTACACAAAACTCGCCGCCCATCGATTTGCTCGGGGAAATTTGTGGAGGTGGTTTAACTTTGCTTAAAAAGGAAAAGAACATTAAAAATTACCACAATGAACCACAGTATTCCATGTTGGGAAAGCTATTCCCAAAATTAAGCCCTACCACTAAACATGGAGGTGCTACAGAACAGTCATGCATTCCCCTCAGAGAGCTACTGACCAATGGAAAACAGAAAGGATTCCAAAGTTAAAGGGTCTTGTTAAGAGAGCTGGGTGTGGTGGCACACACGTGGTCCCAGCTACTGAGAGCCTGGGGCAGGGGGATACTTTTCTGTGACAGAGTCCCAAGGTTAGCCTGGGTAACATAGGAAGAGAATGTCTCAACAAAGCCAACAAATTGCTTTTGAACTGGGTGCTGGGTTCAGAATTCCAGCCACTCCTTTCAGATGGCTAACATTTCACTGGAATTTGTTCAGTGGAGAAAAGAAGGGGCACACGCATCGCCACCGCTGACAGTTCGTTCTGACATCAAGACGACACTGAGTACAGTACAGTACAGTACACAGAGAAGCATGCATGGAAATGAGGCTGGTTCAAACGAAGTCCTGGTGGTGCCTCTGCGGAGCCCCACGCTAGAGGGTCTACTGCAATGACCGATTGCAATCAGAGTCAGCCATCCTCCTGCCGTTGTTTCTTTTCCTGCTGATTTGTGAAAATGATTCATCTATTTTGATCAGTGAAAGGACCAGGACAGAGCTAAATACTGAAAACTTCCCGGACACAAATCTGTTCTCTCTTTGCTATGACCAAGGATGTATGTTCAGTGGAGAACTTCAAGTTCTTCAAGTGACTTCCACTGAGAACCTGTTTCCCTCGGTTGTGCACAATACATTTACATTTTCATATCCCTACATTCTACTCACAAGCTTTCATCTTCTTTCAATTTTTGAAGTTCTGTTCTCTTTTGAATCATCAAATTTCTCAACACTAACTAGCAAAACTATATGACCACCTTCCATAGATTACCTCTCTAATTCATATCCCAGAATGACACCCTGGCAGGCGTCACAGCCTGGATGGATCCCATGACGGTAGGACCCTGGGGCTCAGCTCTGCAGTGAGTCCTACCACCAATATGAGCACCACCTTCTCCTGTTGCCCCACTTTATCCTAGAACCTCCTACTAGACGTGCTGCAATGGGCAGACTGGTTTCTGGGGTCCAGAAGAAAGCGACTGGAATGCACCACCACTGCCACTCATTAGGTATGTGACTCTTCCTTAACTTCCCACTCAGAGCTCAGACTACCAGAAGGCATGATATAAATGGTAACGCCTACTGTGTATGCTGGGGACTGTGCTTGTTCTCACAGTGTACTCTCCAGATAGCAGAACCACGGAGAACTTCTCAGACACTGAGCAAACACTAACCAGACACCATCCCAGATGTCAAAAAGCAAAGGTTGGCAACAATCTGAGCCAATATAATTCTCAGAGCCACCTCCCTGTCCCCAGCAGATTCTGCAGGGTGTTCAAGGCTGAGAACCTACTATGTTAGAGAAAGCAAGCCAGGCTCCCGGGGGTGGTGCCCTCTCAGTTCATAACACGACACACATTTCCATCTACAGCTCACAGATTTTGCCTATTTTTCAGATAGTACTTTAGTAATCTCACTTTTCTTGTCCCTGAAACACTTGAAACACTCTCCAGCATCTAATTTCCTGAGATTTCTGTGTTGACACTTTTTCCTGAAGGGGGTGGGGGGCTGGAATAGATGCTGCCCTGGTTGGTCCGGCTGAACTTCCACTTTGAACCACTATAGTACACACACTATAACGCACAGAAAGGCCACGTCTTTCAACCATGTATTAATACTCGCTGAACACACTGTTCCCACTAAATCACATACACATAGAAAATATCAAAACCAACTGTGGTCAGCTTCCCAGAGAAGAGTAAAATATTGCATCAGTCTTTGAAGAATGGTTTATGTGATGCCATGGATGTGGTCCCACACTTTCTTTTCTGCATAGCTGTTCTGCCATAGAACCCACCAGAAAGGCCACAGCATCATCCTTCCTCCCACACTTGAGCGTGTGTGTGCCCTCCTGATATCTAGGTCACTTAAAGCCACAAATAATCGTCTACTGTGCATCTCCTTGTGTGTTACCTTAGAGTGTGTGCTGCCCTTCAACAGCTCCCACTCCATCACTGAGGGACTAACACTTAATTGACAGGCTCCTGTGACTGCCATCTGTGACATGCCCCTTAGGGGTTTCCAGGGCTAGGAGAGGAGAGAGAAACCACCCTGGAATATTTATTTGTATTTGTGTGTGTAAAGGTGTGCGTGCATTTGTGATGGGCAGCAGCAGCCAAAGTCAGGTGTCTTCCTCTATTGCTCTCCACCTTGTTGTCCTTGATGACGTCATTGTCATCATTACTGTCTTTTTGGAGACAGTTCTCTCACTGAGTCTAGAGCCTACCAACTGACTAGCTGGCCAGCAAGACCCGGGGATCCACCTATTCGCCTCACCTCCCACTCTAGCCCTCGCCCCAGGCTGGAGTTACAGACATTTGATCCCATGCCTTGCTATTTATATGGGTGCTGGGAACCTGAATTCTGGCCCTCCTGCTTGCACTATCTCCACAGCCTCCACTGAAGAGTTTCTCTGAAAACTGTTTGCAGTGTGGGACTCCATTATCAGGAGTCAGGGACAGGACAATGTACAAGTGAGCTTCACAGAGACCAGTTCAAACTGGCAAATTACTGGGTGAGATTTTTGTTGTGGTTGGTGTTACTTAATCATGTAATGACAAGTGGCTGTGCCATTTCAAGAGAGAATATATGGTTCCTCTAAAGTACTTAAACAACTCAAAAATATTACTGGTACAAAAGACCAGCTTTCTAACAGAATTGTGAAAAGTGGAAAAATTATAGGGCATCAACGCATCCTTTGAGAACATTCTATCCATTTATCATCTTACATTTCAGCAAGCCTGGGACTAGCAGCAGCTAAATTTCATTATACTTGTATAGGCTTCCCATCATTCCATTTTGAAAGGCAGCCCTAGACACTACCGTTTTATACAAACTCAAATGTGTTATGAGAAGCGACATTTTATGGTAAAATCGTGTTGAATGTATGAAAAAAAACTATTACTTTATTCTTATATTTCATCAGTTATCCTTTATCTGGTGATAGGACGTCAGTAAATCTCATGAATTAAGAAGGCAATTTGAATAAAGATATTTTTTTATCCATGTTCCTCACATGCCGCAGTGCCGAACAGGGGAGAAAGAATATTTCGGGGAGCTAGTACATATCAAGTTATTGCCATCGTCAGTCTCCATCTGGCATGACTTTGTCATTTAAGCAAAATAGAAACATAAAGATATGTGCATGCCTGTATAAGTCTTGTGGAGAAATAAAAAGAGATAATGTAATAAAAAAGAATGCTACTTAGAAAACTTTTTTTTTTTTTTTTTTGGTTTTTCGAGACAGGGTTTCTCTGTGTAGCTTGGCGCCTTTCCTGGGACTCACTTGGTAGCCCAGGCTGACCTCGAACTCACAGAGATCCACCTGCCTCTGCCTCCCGAGTGCTGGGATTAAAGGCATGCGCCACCACCGCCCAGCTAGAAAACATTTTTTATGTGTTGTACTCAAAGTTAGAAAATATAACTCGGGCTCCATTTGCTTCTGATCTTAATTTTAAAAAATTATGTGCAAGAATGCCCTAGTACGACCAAAACGGTCTTTCTTCTCACATGTGCATGCAACAGGCTACACACGAACCTTTCTACAAGGACACAGAGTATTTCTATCACAAAATACCCTGCTGTTGACAGGAAAAAAACAAATAAAGGCAGAGAAAGAGGACATGTAAGTAACAGAGCAGAAAAGGTCAGCGCTGTAAATCATCTGGACGTACAGGCTGCTAACCTGACCTGCACAGCGTAGACTGTATGTAATGGTAACCTCTTTTCCTGCTTGCCCTTAACACCATTCTCCTCAGAAGGGGTCTCAACAAGTTCCAACAGAGAACACTGGCCAATTTAAGAAGGTCTCCTGTGTGTGTACAGTGAACTTCTTTTTATTTACTTAACCTTATACACTTACTATATTGATAATTCAATGATTAAAATAGTACTTCCATTTTAATTGTTGCACAGGAGTTTAACTGGTTTGATTATATGGATTCACTCGTGAGTTTAAAAAAACATACAGGAGAACGCGGCATGCATACTGACAGTTTATAGAGATGCACAGCAGAACACAGAAGTCTCTAAGATGCCTTCCTACTGATGCCTACTGCCTCTTTGCTACATCGAGCGAGCGTGTGGATTAACTTTTCAGCAAAACATAAAAGAAAAATGAAATGAACACAACATTTGTCAATCATGGCAAAATAATAGCCATAAAATACCACATGCAATAAGCCCTTCCTAAGGAATCCAAAAGGAAAACAGAACACACAAACACAAAGCAAAATAAACACAGTGGTAACTAAAAGCGGGAGTTTAATAATGTCACTTCCTCTGAGAAAACGCTTAAGAACGGGAACTGCTGTCACTGCCAGCTCACCACTATCCCATCATTTCCCAAATGCTTGGAAAGTCTAACAACCCTCCATCACTATCTAGATTAACACTGGGTTTCTCTTGCCTGCTTTACATTCGAATGCAAACAGGAGAAAGAAAAAGAAACAGAAACAAAGCCATTCCCTCTAGAGACACCTGCTTTAGAAATGAAGGACAATGATTTCCTCCAGGATAACCATGCCATGCACCAGGGACTGAGGCGGCAGCAGTGGGTGGCACTGAGCAGCAAGGTAGCCCGGCTGTTGAGAGGGACACAGCCTGGCAGGGGCTGAGCCAGGAGCGCCATTGCTCTCCTTTACAAAGACTTAAGTGGACTGGCAATATTTGAGTTGGATTGGAAACAAATATTAAAAATTTCAATGGCTAGAAAGTGACTGACAATTAGATTTCTTTATAAGCTTCATTAGTTTCCGTGTAATAAAGCTTTTCAAAGGGATTTAGAAATTTTCTCTCACTCTCTAGTTTTTTTCCTAAAACTAGACTGGAGAGGCAACCAGAACTACTTTATTTTAAACGACTAAAAACATTAATAACCCATCCAACGTACTTATACTACATTATAAATGATCCTTAAAGGTTTGAAGAGAAGGAAACACAATAAGGAAAGGATCTCATCTACATACATCACATCATCTTGCAAAGAGTGAAACTGAACTTTTCAAAGTTCTCAGAACAGGGTCACAATTCAGCCCAGCACTCAAAGGACGCTTAGTAAAAACCAAGGACTACAATTCCACATATAAATTTTACTTCTTTTTTAAAGGTGACTGTGAGTAATACAGAAGCAATTGATGAATAAGGGCTATTTCCCCAGGGACATAAGCATGACTGTCTGCTACGCACTCATAAAACTTTTGGAAAGCACTATAGAAACAGAAGGCAAAACTCGGTACCACATGCACACTAACACAATATTGCTGATGCAGAAATTGAGATTCCATAGAAAGTGTCCCAATAGGCTGAGGCAGGAGGACTTTCAAAACCTGAAGGTCAGCCTGGGCTACGTAGTAATTTAAAGGCCAGCATAGGCTACAGTATGGGATGGATTCTGTCTCAACAAATTAACAACAGAAGTTTCTATAGTCTCTCAGAACAACAAATATCCTACATACACATGCACCATGGGAAGTACTGGAAATGCTCAGGTTGACTACTCCTACTGTCAAAGGTAGCCTGTACCATTTCATTCCCAGCCTGCTGTGATATCAAAGGGGAAAAATGCTGTTTTTAAATGGACTCATCTGAAACTGCATTAATTTAAAGAAGGAAAGTCCTCTGCGGAAGAAGAAAGAATGAGTGCGAACTGGACATACCAAAAGCAAAAAAACCTTAACTAAGTACAAATGCTGTAACCCAAAACTCATTTTTGAACATTGTAAGAAATTCACATTTTAAAAGAAGCTATAAAGATTTCATGTTCATCCAACATGTACGTACTGGCCTAACTGGAAGTACTATAAACATACTTATTTAGCATGATGTTTTATTTTACAGCAGTAAATAAAAACCTTCTCAAGTTGAATGTTAAGTATCATGGAAAAACAGCAAATGCTGCGGAAACAAAGCAGCTCTCATAAACAACAAGGAAGAAGTTGTCAAATCTATATTCATTTTGCTGCCTTAATTTGAGGTTTCATTAAGATCTTAATGGGAAAAACATGCACCCTGGTAATGTAACGCATTTAAAAGGAGGACTTTTCAGTCTAGTGTAAGTGACTAAAAACGAGTTTCTCGTGAGCTAACGATGCATCAAACAAACCACAAAGCAGTCTTCTGGAAGACAGGCAGTGATTTAGAAGTCGACTATATTTCATAGATCCTTTTCTTTAATCTGGCTCTTTTAATCTTGTTTCAACCTCAAATCATTTCTGGTTGACAAGTGCTTTTGCTTAAATGTGAGGAACACATAAGCTGTTGGGGGAATGGACTTTTCTTATTTAACATACAACATTTGTTAGTCCTTCTTTAGTTGCATGTCAAAACTTCAATCTTTATTAACATGCTAAAACTCTTTGCTTTGTACTTAGAATGAGGAATTTATCCTCAAATGGAATTTAATTCCACAGTTAGTACACAAAGACATTTAATCATATTTTGGATGTGGCATTTAAAATGCCCTAGTCACCCTAAGCCAGTAAAATCCATGTATCTTACTAGTTTTGAGACGAAATCTGATTTACAAAAAGAAAGATCAACTTTCAGAGGATTTGTCTCTGTATATTGTTAAGACAGTTTGTCGACTCTGCCCATACTGTACTATAAAGGAAGATATGTGATGGAGATTCATTTTCTTTCACCTAGCCCTATATGATAATGAAAACTTCCGTCCCAGGACGCGAGAACCCTGAAAATGTTCCGTGAAACAATAGCCAACTATAAAAGACTGGTTGGTTCTGGAGACACAATCCACATGGCCCAAGCTGGACTTAAACTTGCTGTCCTACTGCCTCGGCTTCCTGGGTGCTACAATTCCATGCAAGTAACACAGGCCCAGATAAAACACTGTTCAAAATATAACGGGGCACAACAAACAAGTCTTAGCAGCAGCTATGAGGATGAGAAAGAGGTGAACAAGAACTTAAATATTCTAATTTAACAAAGTTCATAAATACCTTACATTTCTCAAAATTTCCTTTTGGCTCAAGTGTTCTTAAGAACTAAAGACAGCTTGGCATGTTGGCACATGCCTGAAATCATAGCACTCAGGGAGCTGAGGCCTGAGGACTCTGCAAGCTGGAGACAAGTCTGGTCTATAAAGGAGTTCTACTCTAGCCAGGCTATGTAATGAGACCCTGTCTTGAGGCAAAGCAATGATCTAATTTTGAGAAGTATCTTTTCAGACAGGGTGTCCACCCCAAGCACTGGAAAAGGCAGCCCTCAGCAGTTACTGCTTAGTGAGTGGCTACTATGTACCACTGACACTGTGTACTGCAATGCACTCATACAGTCTAAGCTCATCAAATCCTCACACGGAACCCACAAAACAGTTGCTAATGCTCATTTCATGACATATATAAGGAAAAAAGGAAACAGAAGCTCTAGGGTAGCTGAGATCTCAGTAAACACAGGTATGTAAGAGCAAGGCAGCTTTACTGTAGAACCCCAACTTCGTAAGTACTAAACCACTTTATATCAGATCCTTAACTCATTCTAACTGGTATCTTCAAATGAAAATATGAAAGACACTCTTCTGTGGTTTTTGTGCCTTAAGCTGTCTAATATGGTTCAACAGAATGTCATGGGAGTTTTTTTTTTTTATCAGAAATATGCATTCCTTTACCTTTTTTGCAACTCTTTAAATACCTAATCTATTCAAAACAGAGTTCAACACAGTCCTTTTGGGACCAAATAAAATACACTGTTACTTTGCCCTCGATATATTTGTATTTAAAAACAACCTCCATTCTCTTGTATTAAGCATGGTAACTAAGGAACTTGGTGTTCAAAGCACTCTACTTGGGGCTAGACCTTTCTTAGATTATCCACCAGCATGGTGAGAGAACTCTTCTGCCTTCTTTAAAGAAAACAAACAAAAAGAAAACAAATCTGGTTTTATAGAAAAAAAAGTGTTTTGAAGGACTCAAGTAAAACCAAAGGAACTGCTTTTTAAAGGTTTAAACATCAACATTCATGTCTACTTGTGCCATAACTTGGTGCATCTATCTGTGATCAGGCCATGCAACTGGAAACAAACTATCAAACAGTTACTTTTTGAGAGTACAGCAAATGAATTAGGCATGCGGGACTGAACTGGAACTCACCATGGAGCTTTTATGGAAAAACACCCCGCTCCAAAGAGATAAGGCCTTGGTGGAAAAGGGGGGAAAATGTACAAAAAATTAGAGGAAAACTCATTCAACATTAGTAAATACATGATATATTGTACTGTCACAGAGTATGATAAAATAACTCAAAATAAATAATCAATAGCAATTCTGCCATATATGCTGAGATAGAACCAATAAGTATGTGAGGTATAAAAACAAGCCCTTAATTTTCATAGAAAAGTAGATTTAAATTTTTTCTATTTCTCCCCCTTTTCTGGGGCACCCCTGCAGCACATCTAATTTAAAATAAAATTCACTGCTGAAGCCTTTAAACACAGAGTGCAAATCAAATGGGATAATCAGATGCAGAGGCACCATGACTGTGTGTGACAGAAAGGACTCAGGATTGGCTGAAGATGACTGGACTCTGACATTACAAAGTTTCTGCTCCCCGTTGCGGCCTCTCAGCCATACAATTTTCAAGCTGCTTGTCTGCAGTAAGCTGAACTGCATGTTGTTCTGTGGGTCACTGGCAAAAATGATGGAATGATTTCTAATTCCGGTCACATTCCAGAAAATTAGTACAGGAACACAGCCTCCTGATCCGTCTGCAAGTGCAAAGGTGGACTACCCTCAACTGTAACTGCGATTGCGTGTTTTAAATACCACAGGACATACAAAGTGAGATTCATTTCCATCAATGATGGACACACACGTATTTCTGCTTAAAACTCAGGTCCCAGCTTCTAATGGCATGCTATGCACAAACAAGACTTGGTAATAGAATTATATTTAAAACATTTTAATGTGGCAGCTGACATTTGGAAGACATAAGAAATTGAAGGGGACACATATTAGTAAGCCACGGCTATTTCCTTTTTCAAAATTGGAGACTGGAACATTAAGGAGAAAGATAATCCTGCTAATTAACATTAATTTCCAAATGAAGAAAATGCATTCCAGAACAAATTAAAGGTGAAGCAAAACGTCCTCACAACAGTGAGCATGATTCTGGGGTTCAGAATGCAGTGAACACAAAGACGGACTGTGTAAGCGCAGGAAAAGAGAGACAACAGAGAGGGTGGTGTAGATTGACCGGCACTCTTGCAAGCTTTAAAGGGTTAGTTACTGGCAGGGACAGAACCAGGAAAACCAACAGTGGCCTTCCATCCTTTTCCCCTGTGACCCTCAGAACATTAAGTTGCACGAAAACAAAGCAGAAAAACAAGACTGAAAGACCAAGTGAATGAATTAGTTTTTGTTTGTAAGACATTTTTCTATTTTCTCAATATTTCATAACCATAATGCTGGGGTTTTGCCACAGTGCAGAGTAAACGTAATCTTTAACATCATAGACCAGGCTAGGAGTCTAAGTTGCTGAACTTCTAAAACTGAATTAGGCCAATGTAGCCCAACTGTTTATTCCACTATATGACATTGAAGAAAAAAAAATTCTGGTCACATCTACTTGACTTCAAGATTTACTAATTATATCAGAACTCTTATGTCACAAGAGTTCACTCTGTACTTTGAGAAACACTTGAACTGTCCAATGTCTCCACAGTATTGGGACCCTCTGCATCAGTTGGGGACAGGAGGAAAAAAAAAAAGAGGGTAAAGCCATTTCTAAATGCCAGAAATACATCAGAAATGAAGTGAATGTTGTTGGCAGACAATACTCACCTTTCATTTCAATTATTATAAGCAGAACACCCCAAATATTCCAATACTCTGAATGATTCTGTTAAATACTGGCATCTAAAACAGCCCCATGGTTCCCCTGCATGTACACCGCAAGGCCTGTGGAAAACTGAGCTCACATTCCAACATACAGCCGAATTCTGATTATTGACGGGGACAAGGAATACATGAATATTCACAAATACTTGGAAGTCTGTATTGAAATTGTCTACTCAGTCCTCGATAACTCAAAAGACTTCTCCACTGGCTTCAAACAACAACAACAACAAAAATGGAACAAAATCTATTTGTCTCTAGATTATAAAACCTACTACAAAAACTCCACTCAACTGATGTAAGACCCTGACATCCCCCACCTACAGAAAAAGAAAATACCTTCTACTAGGTTTGAAGTTTCCTGATTTATAAAACAGAAACACACCTCACCCCAACAAATGAAAAATAAGCCTCAACAAACAAACCAAACCCCTTGATTTCCTTCAGGAAGTCACAGCACATTACTAATGTCACCGATCATATACTCGCCCTACCACACCATGGTGACACCAACTGAGGACCCTTAGTCGGCAGCGACACAGTCATCTCTACACACAACAGGGTCACGACTCACAGTGTGGCCCAGATGCTTTAGTTACAAGATGCTCTACTTCCAACCAGAAACGATGCCAACAGCTCCTTAGAAAGGAGCAGGGCTGGAGGCACAGGGTGAGAACCTAGTTTGGTATGTAGACTTGGAATGCATCCAACTCCCATTTGCCCATTTCTTGCCTGCTCTGGCAGACTGGACCTCTGCCATGTACATGTTTAAGATCTACCGACTCCAAAGAAGCACAGTGACTCACATCCTCACATCACTACTGACTGAGGGCAGTGTCAGCTGCTCTTTTGAAAGCTCCTGCTTAATCTTTCTTCAGTAGCAAAAGAATGAAAATATGAAGTCACAGAGTCCAGGCCCATGATCCAGCTGTCTTCACCTATGGCTGTCCTCACACACCCCAACACTGAAAGCCCACAGCTGTAGTTTCCTACCGAAGTGGGGGAAGGTAGGGAGAAGAGAAAGAGAGTGTATGAGTGCGGATGTTGAGTAAATTAAAGGCTGGTTTTTATTAAGTAGTGAACTCAGATTACTAGAGATGGCGATGAAGAATTCACACATCACTGTAAGTTTTAGAAGGCTTAACAAACCTACCACATAAAAGCTGTCTCCTGTTGGTCTGAATTCCAATTGAAAAACATAAAGAAAAACTACCTACTCAATGAACTAAAAATCCAGCAATGTTGATGGGCCAGTGGTGGCACACACTTTTAATCCCAGTACTGGAGAAGCAGAGGCAGGTGGATCTCTATGAGTTCAAGACCAGCTTGGTCTATAGAGCAAGTTCCAGAACAGCCAGGGCTACACTGAAAAACCCTGTCTCAGAAAACCAAAAAGTGTCTGACACACACCCAGGCATTTACCTACACAAAAATAAAAGAAACGCTCTTAGTTGCAGCAACGTGGTTAAAACGGAAGACAAGTAGAACTGAATTGTATTGCAAAATAAAAATAAAAATTAAAAAAAAAACCTGGAAGACAATAGCTAAGTGAGATAAGCCATAGAATCAAATTCCAGATGTTTATTAGAGAATTTTTTAACTCCTTATAAAATAATAGGAAATTATCTGGCCATTAATTCTCAAAGGAATTTTCAGAGAACCTCACAAAACAGTAATGGTTAGAACTTTAAACAGGTAGTTAAGTGGTTAGAGCACTTATTATACTTCCTGGGGACCTGGGTTCAGTTCCCAATTCTCAGAGTGGCTCCCAGCTGCCTAAAACTCCAGTTCCAGGGCATCTGATTTTGTAACCTGATTCTACTGGTAAAAGGTTACTCTCAAGATGTGTTCAGTAATCAATAGGCTCCGGGGGAGTCCTTGAGTGAGTGGCTTTCTACACTGCATAGGCTGGTTTGTGATCCTTCTGCCTCAGCCTCCTGTGTGCTGGGACTACACAGTATACCAGCCTGCCCAACCAGAATTTAAAACTGCCTCTCCAGAGCTAAAGCAGCAGCCAGAATTTAAAAGACCAATTCCATAAGTATACTCCATCAATCCTTTTCTTCAGATGATCAAGTTCTGTGATCAACCAAAATGCAGGGATCAGAAGGAGTCCACAGAGACGAGAATGGTAAGAAGAGAAAAGGCTACAGCACATTATATCTACAATACTTAATGAGGTTATAGACTGTCAATTAATTCTTAAGGCGCTGCCGCCACTCTGTGTACCTTCTCTTAAGCAAATGAAGTGAACTCCCACTTCCTCCCCATTGCTGCAAATTAGTCCTCATGTCATTTCCAACTTTTAATTTGTTCATTAATCGAATTTTAACTGCTCCCTAGCAGACAGGTCTAGGGCACTGGTGGTTTTCAATCTGCTGATCCGTAGGACAAAGTGAAGCTGGAACAGACAGCTGACTAATTTGAGACATATTTGGCATGCCATTTTAAATTACAACCTCAAGATGTAAAAGATTTTCATTAGAAAAACATAGATAATGCTGAAGTTCTTCCATATGCGACAGAAGAGAGACTAGCATAGCATAAATAATGGCAAACTTCTGTCGACTGCCATGCCCGCTGACTTTCAATATGGTATATAGTAGACTTCTTTCAAATAAAAAATCCGCAGGTTTACAGCAAAATGCAATAAACTATGGTATGGTTTAAGTACTCTACTTATTTGGCGCAAAAACTAGAAACTCAAACTATGGTAAATACATTACACATGTAGACAAAAGTGCACACACTCAAATGGAAACGCACTCTTGATTATGTTATATCTGGAACAAAACCCTCAGAGCTCTACTATACAAACTAATGGTTACAAGAGACAGAGGCAGAAGGCAGCAAATGGCCGTGTGTTAGGGTAAATTCTGGAGGGGGGGGGCGCAGCCGCGGGTCTTTTCCCACATCTTTCCTTCTTAATTCTCTGAACTTACCCTGTAAAGCTTGAGACTCAGATGAAGGTCTAAATAAGCCAAGATGAACAGGGTTGAATGGAATTAAAATAAGGAATGGACTTTTATGTTACTATATGAAAATGTCATTTACTCTGAAACAAGAACTGATGACGAACTTGTTTAAAAAGTATCAGCTGCAGACATTCAAATAAATGCTATGAAGTGCTCCAATGTCTGTGAGAAACACACACCTGTTTACTAAGTATGGCTCAGAAGGGCTCAATAACTTGTCAGGCTGCAAAGGGGCAGTGAGATCAAAGAGCTGTTGGGAACGCAAACATCCACATGTGAATTCTTTTCCTCTGAGCAAACTTACACAGGACATTACAAGTGTCCACA